GCAGAGTGCAAGCACCCTGCCAACCGTCCGGCATCATGGCGGCAGAGCGGGTGCCCGGTGGATCTCTCCTCCCGGAGGGAGAGAAGCACACCGACTGGCTCGCAGCAGCCCTTATATAGGGCTCCACTGGGGGCGGGGCGGCGGCGCGGCCTTCGGCGGTCGCGTCGCGGCTTTGCCCGTGTAGCGCGCCAGAGCCCAGGCGCACGGGACCCCGGCCACGTTGTCGCGAACCGCGACAATAGCCAAACGCGCCAGTTGTCTGTGCGCTCTCGAGCTTGGTTGTTCTCTTTACTTGTCCGCGATAGGCGGGTTGCCGTTCATTTTGTTCGCTGCGGGACTTGGACCTCACATGCCGCACGTTATGCATAGCGGGTGGAGTCCGGAAGGGCATCCACCTATCACAACCCTCCAGCTTCATTTTTGCTCGCTTTCGAACGTTGAACGTGACACACATTTTGGGAGGTATACCTAGTTGACATCGCTGCAATCAGTCGGGGCGGGTTCAGGTAGCGTGGAATGACTTCACCCCCTTTTCCATCAATAGTGATCGATCCACAAAGAAAACTACTAGTGGTAGAGGACGCAGTGTACGGGCTTATTCCTGCCTCCTGGCACCGCCCTGAATGATTATGACGATGTCGGCTGTAGAGCTGGTGAAAAAAAAGACAAAAAGCAAGAAAATGGCATAATACCACCCACCTCCGCCCCACCTGCCAAATACGACCCCTCATTGTGTACACAGAGGATGCTATGGCTTGATGAACATGAATGTGACATCGCCTTTGAGAGCGAACTGCAAGAGGTGCTCTTCCGAGCAGGGCACATCATTGGTTGGGGATTTTGGTCGACTCCGTACAACCCCCCCTTTTTTTTTCTGGGTTGGCACGATCCCCCCTCTCCTGGCGGCCAAATTCGACCCCTCCTCATCGGAGAGGCGCGAGCGGGGGGGGGGGGGGGGGTAAAATACACATGTGAAACGAAAAAGCCCCGGAAAAATAGCGCCGCGCCCCCCTTTCCGCGACCAAAATACGACCCTTGTTGGGGATCGCTCCCCAACAGACGATGTGCCCTGCTTCCGAGGCCAGTCAACAGGGCAATGACAGCTTACCACAGAAAGCGATCACGTTCATGTCCAAGATCCTGTGGCCATCTCAGATCCCCATAAAATGCAGCTGAGCTACTTAGCGAGAAAGATGTTTCAACTCAAGGAGCGCTATTACGAGGAGGGTTTTCGGTAATTGTAGAGTTGTGTGAAGTTTCAGACACCGTAAAACTCTCCCCTGCTATCTAATACCGAAACATTTCCTGGGAACTGCATTTTTAGCACTTCCAGTTTGTTCTGTACCATTGACAGTGATTAGAAAAGCATAACTAATGAACCGTAACGTGACGTTTCAGGAGTCTTTGAATCCTCCCATGTTGGAAAAGTGTCGATACTGTGGCTGTACCGATGTGAAATCGCTGAAACAGTGTCTCTTCTGTGGATCTGTGGCATACTGTAGCGATGAGCATCAGGTAAGCCTGACTGCTTCTACTTCCTTCTATAGCGCTTAACGCTGGTCTTGTGCAGTTGCAGTTCTTGTGATAGATGTCCAGAAGGCGTTACAGTTGAGCCACACATCCTAACGCTAGAGGATCTGGGCGAAACAGCTGCACTAAAACAATCTCCGTAATCATTGTTCACGCCTGGTGCTGTAATACTTAGCACATTAGCACGGTAATCATGGAGTGCGTGATCTAGTCCTGCCAGGGTTTGAGCCTATTACCCATAATTCAGCACTTTTTTCGGTTGTTCTCAGAATTCAAATTATAATCAAATATGTCCTCCTTGTTGAGCTCGTCACTATCATTCAGTGGCACTATCTGAGGTGGTGTCACATGTGGAGCCTCATTTGTCGCCCAGTTCTGTGGCCGAATCCTGATCTGAATGCCGCCTAGGCGACTGAAGCTATGATGTTGGGTACCAAAATCGATTTGCAAAGGAAAAAAAGTTGGCCTGTTGGGATGTTGGATATGTTGGAAGGGCTCCACAAGCGGTTGCCTAGGACAGATCACGAAACGGTCGCTATTGAGATGAAGTGCGCACTCCTAATGGAGATTGATTGAATTGAAAAGATATTGTCATGTGGGTGAAGGGAGCTAGTAAAGGTAAAGGCAGGAAAAAGTTCGAGCTCAAAAATGGTCAGGTGTGCGGCTCAAAATTAAATGACAAGCCGGGAATAACACAAA